TTAGAAAATCTGTTTGTTTCTCGGGAAAATTTGCGAATTACACTCAATTTTTCGTTTTGTATTCTTTTCTTTGTCCCGCCGGCGGAATTCTTTTCCTATATATCCGCGGGAAATCGTCAAAAATTGCGTTGATTGATTTAACCGATATAAGATAACCGCTGAAAAAAACGGAATCGGACAAGAATGCCCATGGACCGAGCCCAAACTCCTGAAACCACGAGATCGCCGATTGTCCTCTCCATCGAGTGTCTGAAAGGTAGCTCGAAAGCCGATGAATGGACCGGAGACATGCTCCAGACGGGGGACATCGTGGAGGAGATCCGGATAGGCTCCGATTCCGGGTCGGCCAATACCACCCTAGGGACCCCGTTCAAGAACGGGAAGAGCGGGGTGCAGAAGATTCTACACAACTCCTTCAAGAAAAAGGAGACCTCGATTCTGGTCCGAGTGAGGCGGGGCAGCGACAACTTGGCTCAGTTGCAGGCGTGTATCGTGCCAAACCAATCCGGTGGGAAGAAGCAGTACATGTTGAGGTCCATTGCCGATCCGAATTACGCCGTCGGGTTCGCCGATCGCACGGAGGCCGAGTGCTTCGAGTTGCAAGGTGAGTTTCGAACCGAGTTGTCATCTGTTTTTGCTGACTACTGGTGCTGCCTTGACCTTTTCGTTTATATTTATGGATTTATTTTTCATTTAAATGCATATTTTCTCCGGTCTTCTTAATTTTATTTACTGTGTTCTTGCGCTTTAAGCAGCGTAATACTAGTAGGACGGCGGCAACCGGCAGGGCGGGATGGAATCCCTGCGATGCCCGGTAAGATTTGCCGGGAAAATAACCCGGCATACCCACCTAACGGGGAAAAATATTCATCCGGTCCCGCATCCCGTGGTCCTGCGGTACCCACCAGAATCGGGTTTTGTGCCATCCCTAAATATGCTCCTCTATATCTTTTTGCTTGCACATGTTTGAAAGAGGTTGGCATGGTCTGGTCTTCCTTCTAGAATGTAATAAAGGAAGTTCATTTAGGTTGCATTTGATTTTTTAAGTTGACCCACAAAGAATTTTAAGCAAGTTGAAGCAATTGCTTGTTGGGTTTGGTATTTTGGTTAGTCAACCTTGCTTTTTTGTGTTTTTCTTTTTGCCGACAAGAAAAATGAAAACTTGCTTCTTTTTGGGTGTGAAATATCATTCTCAAGATTTAAGATTGTGGTTCTTGAACTGTCTTATAGGAATAACATGCTTTTGTATGAAAACTTTTGGGTTCATACTTGTTTGATAATAACTGCTAATTCATACCTTTTTTTAAAAAACCTATTTGTACCTTTCACAATTGGGTTTGATTGTTGCTCTGGCTTACACCACTTTAGGAGTTGTAGGCCATACTTTTCTTTGGACATTTAACTCTAGGCTACCCTGATGATCCCGAGTGTCCCAATCATCCAATGTTAAGAGGTACAGGTGCAACTTCACAACCGATTAAAGGAGTGTGGTATTGGCTGTTAATGGGGCAAGTGATTGTTTGACTTAGGATTCATGTTTTAGGACATGAAACCTGTTTAAACGTTCTGTCTATTGCTGGGGGTGAAATCTTGTAATTTAATTTATATAATGTTGGATGACACATTTTTAGTTCGTAGGTGGCCAATAAGTTATCTTGCCAACTTATGCTTTAGATCCAACGTTGGACAATTGGCAAAAATAGAATTGGTCATGATTTTAGTTTCCACTTTTCATACATTGGAAGGCATGATGATGTCCGGGAGTCCTGCCACGACCTTTTGCTTCCAGTATTTGCTCCCAAATACTGGAATTTTTAAATCAAAAGCAACTTTGTTAGGAGAAGAGGGCATTTGTCTTTTCTATTTGAAAAAGTACTTTGCTTAATGTTGAAATTTTCAAATAAGCCGTTATTAAAATATCATTTGATACTTTGGATCCATCCCTTCTCTCTGTAGTGAAGGCAGAATTCGATCACAGGTGTTTGATACAACCATCAATGGATTTACCAACTCCATTGGTTGGCACCTTTTATGCAATGGGCAAGTTAGTTCTTGAAGAATTCAGAAAAAAAAAAAAAAAAAAAAAAACCATCAGTCCACATGGTTTTTTCCATTTGAATATTCTACAATCACTCAAGAGGCAGCCTATTTCCTTGCCCATTTGAAAACCTTGTGTCATTCATTAATCTCTGTTGAAAGGAACTATCAATGTTCATATGTATGAAATCATGACAGGAACATACCCAGAAAGTACCATGCGTGTGGGTTTAAGTAAGCATATAGAGGCCTTTGCATAACTAGGGCTTACCGTTAAGTTAACCACTCTTTTTGGAATATGTAAACTGGGATGGCCAGATAGAATTATATTTTTGGGAAATATTTATATAGCAGGTGGTCAAGGGATGTGCTGATGCTAAAATGAAATTTATTTATGTTTTGATGATAGAATTGTTTTGCAGTAACTCTTTTCATGTTTGCTAATTGATTTCCTTGAGTCATATTAGCAACAGATACTGAAGTTGTCATTGATAATTTTATATGGTTATCCAAAACTTATTTCAGTTAAAGGCACGAACTTCTTTGATCTTTCTAACTTCGGGCGAAACATCAAATAATGACTTTGCAGCTTCAAGGAGCTCAAGGATGGTCAGGGCGCTGTCTCATACAAAACTTCAGGATGGATATGTCGCATATCCATGGGAGAAGAGGATGCAAGATTTGCTTTTAGTTCCAAACTCAAGTTCCTTTCTTTCTATTCTCCTGCTTCCAAAAGCTTCAGATCGAGTAGCTTCTCGATACAATGACTTGGAGGATACTCTTGCTCGGGCAAATGCCTGGCTAAATGCAGCTCAGTCTTCTGGGGTCCCTATCGTCTTCATGAATATCCAGACTGAGTCTCTGCTAACTAAGGTACACTACTTAGCCTCAAAGGCTCCATGTTAGAAACTTTAGTGAGCCAGAGAGACATCCAATCTAACTAATAGGGCTTTGTTCTAGAACTGCTAGCTAACATTTAGTCATCATACCCTCTGTGGGCACATTATTGTCTTGGTCTAAGATATAAATTTGTACCTAAGTCAAAGAATATGGCATAGACATCTGAAAATTTTGTTTACTCAGATAGATTATTTAGCATAAATGATTCCCACATTATTTCTAGCTATTGTGCTGATTATTTGCTCTTTATTTTGAGTAGATTTCTGGAGAGACAGCCTCCTCTACTGTGAATACAGGCTCATTGTCTGATTTATCAAACCTTGCAAATGCAAGTCTCTATGGTTTTGAGGATTACCATGGAGTTGACATTGGTGTTGTTCGAGCTGTTCGCCTTTGGTATGCTCCTATTGCCGGAGAAATTTCAATTGAGATCAGACTAAATGAAAGTGATTCAAAGCTTGGATTTGCCATTAGTCGAACAGAAGAGGTTTGCTATTGGATATTCATTGCTCTTAGACATCATTCTTGGATTTCTAAGGGAATCATATTAATTATTATGTGTGTGTGTGTGTGTGTGTGTGTGTG